GGAGTGAAGATGTCTTTGTTGGATGTCTATCAACATCTCTCCTCTGTGCCCAGGCTACTCATTTATTCATGCCTTATCAATAACTGAAGCCTCAGGGGTGGGGGAGGGACTGGGGGGGTTGAGCTGGGGCTGACTCAGAAACACATAGCCTTCAGCATCACTACGTCACCTTTGATTTACATAAATGGAGAAATAAATTGACATGTTGATTGGCAGGTGAGTTAAATGGCTGTGCCGGCACCGCAGCTGTGAGATTTGTGGCACACACATGAACACACACACACAAACACACAGTACATAGCAGCACTGCCTACAGTGTTGTCAGCTAGTAATCATGAATTTATGAGCACCCACTGGCTCACAATTAGCATGTGCACATGTAGCGAAGAAACGCAGGCACTGACTCATACACGCGCTCACATTTGTGTACATACACAAACAAACCCCAGCGGCACACAGGCACACTTTTGACACACACACAAACATGCCCCTACCCCCCCCCCCCCCACACACACACACACACACACACACACAAGGTGTTATTCCTTGATGAGCAGATACATTAAACAGCATCATGGGAGAACCAATAAATACCCAGCCAATCGCTCTTAAAGAGGGGAGAGGGAAGTGAGCTAATCTTCTGAGCACTGCTGTCCCTGTCAGCTTAGAGACAGAGGGGGGGGGGGGGGGGGGGGGGGGGGGGGGGGTGTAGAGTGAGTGGGAGGGAGTAAGAGTGAGAGAGAGCACCATATCAGCACCATCACTGGCTGTTTCCTGTTTTGCTTTTCATTTGGACTGCAAATAAATAAATTGCCAACAGTTTTCCACTACACCGAACTAGCTATAAACTAATCAGCCTCTTAATCGGCACAATGATAAATAAGATAACTCTACCCACTGCTGTGTTTTCAAATTGCCTATTCATCTACAGGGCAGGCTTTAGGAAAGAGATTTAGTGCAGAGGCTGTGTTTCATAGTCACATAATGTAATTTAAAGAGTGTTTTCAGTGCTGCGTTTGTTCATGTTAATGGGGCTTCCGTGTCAGCGTTTGATGTCTGTGTTGGGAACATAAAGCTGATCACATCGGTAGTAATAAGAGAACATCTATAGTATTACAGTGGGTCCCCGTTTATTCGTAGTGTGGGTGCGTGGTTTGATACATTGTGATTCTGTCATGAAATAAAAACAAGGAGAAACCAATCTGTGAATAGGTGTCTGCAGGTGTCCCACAGTAAATATAATATTAAAATCACCATATTTTATTTTAGGTTTTTTTTTTACTCCTAGGGTCCTTTAATTACATGGAATAAGTCATTTTGAAACTTATTTTACCTTAATGACTAGCATGAGTGATGTTTTTTCCTATTTCTCACAGTGAGTCCCCATAATGAAATTGCTTTAGACTGACCGACGACCACAAGCACTGGATGACACGACGTTAGGTTGGGACTCTTCATTAAGTTCCATTTGCAGGATATTTATTCATTGATCCATGCAGATGACACTCATGGAAAATAGAAGGAGGCCGTGCTGGTCTGGTTTTCATTTTGCTTGCGTGGATTATTAAACCAATTTTATTTTCTTTGTGTGCATAAGAGGTAATAATTAAGTGATAAGGTGAAACAGTATGTGCATTTATTTATTATTATTATCTCTCTGTGTGTTCAACGGTAGCCTTTTGGTTAACGCGACTGCATTCAATTTAGACTCTATAGTGCTGTGTTGGAAATGTCACTAGGTCAGACATTATTCAGACATTATTCAGACATGACACAGGCTGTATTATTACAATCACATGATGAGGTGCATTTCTGAAAGGGCCCTACAACTACAGTACATCAAAAGCTATTTGTGTCCCTGCCAAGCCATCAGCTGCCTGTCTCAAAAATTCTGACGTCACTGATGTCACTGAATGTCCAAAGCACGATTTACAAGTGCAGCTCTCAAAATAATCAGTGAATGCAGCGATGCTAAGTCACAGCAAGACAAGTGGAACCAGAAGTGCTGAGACACATTTCCCCCTGCGTACAGCTTTGAACAAGCAACACATTATTAATGCATTATTTAAGTTGCATCTTGCACATGATTCATCAAAATTAAGACATACTGCATATAAGCAATATCGGAGCTTCTGTGGCAAGACGGCTCAGAGTAGCCTTTCATCCTAATGGTGATAGACACATGTACGATGGTTTGATATACCACATAAATCTTTGACATAGATGATAGTCAAAGGATTAAGATGGCAATGAAAGATCCTGATTGTCTGCTATGTCTTTTTAATGATTCATTTACAGCGGTATTGACATTGTAACCTCTTTGAAGAACAGGCTCATTCATCTGCTGTCTCAGATGATGCATATTAATCACATGAATGACCTACCTAGTATACTGGGTAGTTGCAGCATCGCAAAGCATGTACATGTGGTTATTCAACTGTGTGTGTGTGTGTGTGTGTGTGTGTGTGTGTGTGTGTGTGTGTGTGTGTGTGTGTGTGTGTGTGTGTGTGTGTGTGTGTGTGTGTGTGTGCGTGCGTGCGTGCGTGTGTGTGTGTATGCATGCTTGTGTGCGCGCGCACGCGCACATGTAATCTTGTGAAGCAGAACCAGCAATGATAGCATGAGGGACACACACATGCCCTAGATAGTTGTTTGAACCTAATCTAGGCCATCCTCATTTCCCCTCGACACGTGACAAGCACCGCAGGTAGCAAGCTGTGGTACATACACACACACACACACACACACACACATACACGAGAAGACACTCACAACTCATACAAACAGACACCAAAACATTGCAGGAAGAGTAGAAAAACCTGCTGGAGACTGCAGAGCTGCAAAATCTGGTGCCTGTATAACGTTTCAGGGAAAGCTCTTTAAGTCGTGGGCCAGGGGAGACACTGACATCCATGAGAAGAATGAGAGGAGAGAGAGAGAGATGGAGAGATAGATATTTAGCTAGAGAGAGAAAGAGAGAACGAGACAGAGAGAGAGAGAAGGAGAGAGAGAGGAAAAAGAAGAAGAAAGAGTGTAGGGTGAGGTAATTCAAGGACATTCTGCCTGCTGCTGTGCTTTGCTGCTACTGAGCATGCTGCAGACTAGCAAAAGCTTTCCTTTTGGGCGGTATTATGTAAGACCTTAGTGTGACAGACAGACAGATACACACCAGATACACACTCACACAGACACGTACAAAGACTCATGTACACATGCCCAGACACATGCACCCAACACACACAGGCCAATCCGTGTACACACACACACACAAACACACACAGATAGACACACAGTGACAAACACATCACACACAGGCGGGCACAAACACACACACTTGTAGACACACATTCAGAGCACGTAAATCTCAATTCACACTGAGCCCTGTGCTTGAAATTCCACTGCAGCCAGCCACAACTGATTAAAGCTCCTGTTCACATCATCAGTGCAGAGACAGAACGAAATAAAAATATTGCACAATAAAGTTTGGACTGAATGTGCAATTGTTGCAAACATTTAATATCCTTTAAAGGAATAGTTTGACATTTTTGCAAAATAAGCTTCTTAGCTGTCTTGCAGAGACTTAGAAGAGAAGATCAATACCCCTCTCTCATCACTGTGAGGTTGCCCAGCAACCAGCAGAGACACCACGAAGTCACTGTGCCCGGCAAAGTTTGCAAAGACATTTTTACAGCATATTGCCCCTATTTTCATTTCTCATTGTCTACATCACAAAAATGAGATACAACATGTTAATTAGTAAGATGTAGAGGTGTTGGCAGTTTTGAACTTTGGTCAGAGCCAGGCTAGCAGTTTCCCGCTGCTTCTAGTCCACAATGCTATGTTAGGGTAATCTCTCATCTAACTCTCATCTAAAAAAGAAAATTAAAGCATTTCCCAAAATGTTTAACCTTGAATTTTTTCTTTGTCCGTATCAGAGAATCGTTCTCCAGTAATGTCAAGCAAACCATCACACTCTTTGCTTTTTCTTTGTTAATCAGAAAATCATCTAACTCACTCAACACACTATACACTATCATGAGGTGACGGACCCGACGACCTCAACCAGTTTTACAGAAGCAGGCTCCTCAACACTGAAGACTTTTCTTGTATAACAAAATTAAATTGTCTTTTTCACACTGTAGCAAATACCAACATCATAAACACTTATGGAAATCTTTTAGGCAGGACAAAAAAGAGCTGCACTCCAGGGTCACTGCACTGTATCACAGTTGCTTCTGCTCAATCCAAAGCCAAGTTTCCAGGGTATTTCATTTTGAAATTCAATCAGTGTCTCACAGTCCTTTATCTTTAGATCAAAAATCCAAATACACCCTGACACCATTTTATAACCATTTATGACTCCATGTACATAGAGAACAATGTATTGTAATACCACCTCATTAGCATGTTAACCAATGATAATCACATAATAATGCGTTACACAGCCTTCAAATCACGATGTAATATATTTTTAAAACATTCCATACTTACGATAAAAAAAATTATATAACTCAATCTTTTCTGTTATTCGGCAGATGTTAGATGATTACATCACTATCGAAAACAGAACAGCTATTTTGAGTATAATCACTACATAATGTCATATTGTGGCATAATTATGGCATGAAGAGGGTGCATTATGTATTTGGTCCATTTTTCTCTCATTTTATTATATCCAACCAGCATTTTTAAGCAGCCCATTATGTTTTATGTCTTGCTCAAAATCACTATAGTTATGAATGAGAGCCTGATGTTTCATCATCATACACTCAGTTGGCAGTTTTAATAAAAAAAACTGAACATTATAACCCTCATGAAGGTAGCATTCATTGCAGGACTGTTGTATAAGACTGACATTACTTTTAACTACATAATTAACTGCCAGTTGAGTGTATATTCCACATTGATTTTCCAAGAACAGATGTGAAACCTTGTGGTGATGGGTTCATTTCTCTGCCCATAGCTGTTGAGAAGAGAAGAGAGGAGAGCAGACGACTCACCAAAGACAGTCCTGGCAGGGACGGACTCTCTGTTGAGCCAGAAAGACACTTGGGAGAGGATGACAGTCATGATGCAAGGTAAATATGTCTGGATCACAAAGTAACCGATTTTCCTCTTCAGGTGGAAGTGGGTTGTCATCACAACGTACTCTCCTGTGGTCAGCAAACAAGTCAGAAAGTGAGAAATGAATTCACACATACCCTTTATACCTTTTAAAATATACATTTAAGACATCTATTGTACCTCTCCCTTCGGCGTGAAGTGTTTTTTTCTAAATGGTTCGTTGTGTTTGGGCCTCTGGTTTTATTGTCGTTGAGATTTATCAGCGCAGTTATGGGTGTCATTTGTCAACAAACTCAATACCCAGGCATGATCCATTTCATCAGTGCATTCAGGCCCAGTCTCAGAGGGGATACGACAGTCACAAGGACAGCACTGGGGGTTTAATCTTACTATAACAATATGTTGATTTTGAGGTTTTACAGAGCCATTAATTAATGCAACAAATAAAAATATAGTAATAAAGTGATGCATTTGTGTATCAAGATAGCTTATTCGATCAAGCTCGGTTGATATAGTGTCTTGGGAGCTTGCTAGTAAAGCAAAGCGTGGATTGGGGCATAGGGCTGTCTTAAACGTTACTCTCTGCCTGCAGCGAGCGTCACTGCAAACAGGTCACCCATTTTATGCTGTCACTAATTTTTGCCAGTATCAATGGACCAAAGAGAGGAGGAGGAAAAAAAGACATAATGGCCAGTAGGGAAATAATGAATCTGGGACATAGCCTGTCATTTGTAAAGCAACAAACCAATGCCACCGATGAGGCAGATGAACTGATGCGGTTGTCAAAATTTGCAGTTCCAAACCATTCATTTGTGCAGTGATGAATGATGAGTGAGACTGAGGATTTTTTATTTTATTTATTTATTTATTTTTCGAACAATTAGGAGGACTATGTAATGTACCGAGCTCAAATCTTTCCAAGCTGCCTCGATTAGGTAATGCAGTGTTAACATTGTTGAATTCAAAATGCAAAACCACCCCTTTCAAAACATTTCTTTATATCACAGTAAACTCTATAATTGAGAGCCCATGGGAACCAAACTGAAGCCTACCTGTGCTGGACTGCACCACACCGGAATCCACACTCTGCCCCATCAGATCATACTGGTTTAATCTGGAGCCATCCTCTGCCACCACCACAGACTGGGCAGCCCCTCTGGTCCACACGTACACCACTTCCGCTCGAGTGTAGGCATCTGGCGAGGACGAAACAGAGTGAAAAGTTATAAATTATTTTGCTGCTGGTTGTCTCTCGTCATGTACTGCCTGGAAGGTTGTATTTTTGGAGCTGCTGAGGGATGCCAGGTGAAAAAAAAAAGAGAGACAAATCTGGAATTAGGTCTTCCACTAAACTCCTCAATTTTTGTCTTCCCTCATCTCATTTTGTCTCATCTTGTTGTCTCTCATCTCGTCTACTCCGCTCTCATCCAAGTTCTACCTGTCTTGTCTCATTTGCCATTTAAGCACATCATCCCTTTCTTTCACCTTGTTAGAGGCGTCTGCTAGACTCATCCCCTCTGTTTTATCTAATCATCTTTTCACATATTTTTTTGTTGTTTCTTGTCAAACGTTTTCTCATTTGATCACGTGATTGCAACGTCATGCCACGCCGTGTCATTCCTCAGCTTACAGGGAAAACAAACAAACAACATCCCAACAGCACAACATGACCTTAAAACAGCCAAGTCAGTCTTTCCTTCCCTCCGGCCACCCAACCTGTCAAAGCTGCGGTGTGGCTCGACCACTGCAGAGGAAAAGGATGGCTCGACTGCAGACTGCAGCATAAGGAAGAGAGCTCATCACTGAAATATTTAGGGAGTGAGTTCAATTTAAAGGGGGTTGAGGCTCGGTCCTCTCACTCACGCTGTGCAGCTGTCTGAAGGATGGCACAGAGACACGGTGACGTTCACGTCTCCGTTTCGCATTTTGCTGTGTTTTTCTTTCTCGCTCTCCCCTGTAGTTTTTTCCTCTCCTCTCTCTATTCTCGTCCCCACCCTCCATCACTCTATCTCTTGTTATGTCTTCTCAAGGATGATGCAGGGTAGGGGTAGCTGTCAGCGGTGAGCAGCTGGTGTGATGCTCTGGAAATATTACAGAGAGTGCTGCCGTGGATAAACACAGGTCTGTGTGCTGCACGCCTGCCAGGGTCTTGCCGGGTCTTGCAGGGCCTGGCAGGGTTGAATGGGAGGGGACCAGAGGGGCCTTGGAGGACAGCTCCTCTGGGAGAACAGCTGTTACCACACTGTCATTCCTTATCAGGGGCTGGTGCTGGGGTCACGCTTCCAGTTGGATGAGGTAGTGACAGCGTGTCAGAGGGGCACGTGTGTGTGTGTGTGTGTGTGGTGTGTTCCTGTGCATTGATGTGCATGTATGTAGGATTGTGTATGAGGCCACTTACAGCTGCCAAACTTCAGTGGACAAGCATGGGCATCCATAGGGAAGTCTTCCAGGTGCATGGGGCATTCTGCTCTCACTGTAAGCCTAGAGAGATTCACACAGGTATGGACAGTGAATTAAAAAAAAAAAAAAAAAAAAAAAAAACTGGCACCAAGGATAATGAATTAAAAAAACATGCAAACAAGCATGTGAACAGTGAGCCACCAGGACCATGTGATGTACTATTATTTCTGGTCTCTCAGCACCAGATACAGTCAAATTCAAACTTACAGCTACTTTTTTCTCCAAACCAACAGAAGCGCTCCTTTCCCCTGAACTGTGGGTTTCTATTTCCTGACAGCTTGATGAAAAACAGCGTGTCAGGCCACCCGTGACACACTAATCTCCCATCCATCCCTCATCTCGCTCATCTGTGACAGCAATATGGGCTCCGCCAGCTACCCCCTCCCCCTGCTAGTAAACATGCTAAAACAAATGTTTTACGATCCTTGCCTTAGACATCTCGCACTGGCCTCACTCTGTGGTGTGCATGAAGGTTTTTGTTCTGTCTTTAAGCACTGTCTCTTATTTACCCGCCCCGGCGCTGAAGGCTTCTGAGGCGCTGCACGCGTAGCTCTAAACTCAGCTCAGCTGGTCGCGCACCTTATCTTCCTGCTCTCGACCGTCAGGTAGCATCCGCACAGTGATTAATCATTACGGGATAAAACACTTTATTTTTTCCTGGTGAACACTACAATGGAAAAATGACTAATTGTAATAGAAATGTACAATATGTGATACACAAGACTTATAAATGGCTGACCGTAATCTCTAAAGTAAAGTATATATAGATATAAGTATAAATCTAGTAGTGAAGTGAAACTTCTTCTACACTGCAGAGGCAATACACTTCAGAATGGTCACCTAGAAAATGCAACATAGATTGGTGGAACTTCATTTAAAAGATAAAGTTGGTAATTTATCTTTCAGATAATGTAGATCCAGTAAAACCACAGCCCTTCTTCCCCTTCAACGAATTATGTGCGCCGATATCAAAATGACACAAGGTCTCTGCTTTCCTGTAAGTTCAAAAAGATTTTAATCTCCCGCTCATTCGAAAATCCTTTATCTCGCCGGAGTGGTAGAACATGGCAGCCTACCTCATGGTATACAGCAGCGTGCCTTCCTCTGTAATTCGCAGCAGCTTGTTTGGCATGGTCATGTTGTGGGCCACCGACTTCTTGCCATTGTGGAAGAAGGTATCAGGAGTCCAGATCTTGCTGGCCATCAGGTTGTTGAGACGCAGCACGGCCATGGGGCCTTTGAACTTTAGTCTTTCATCCTTCCAGCTCTGTCTGAAGAAGACATCAATGGTGTACTCCTACAGGTGGATGGTGAGAAGCAGAGAAAAAGTCAAATAAGGAAGGAGGGAAAAAAAAAAGATAGAAAGTCGGACCCCCACCTTGTAGCAGTTTTCTACCTTTATCTGCTGACTAATCCAACCTTATTTTTCCTTTCCACCCTTTTTGTGTTCTTACATTTTCCTTTTTTCTTCCTTGTGTCACTCTGACTTTCGTATGGTACTCTTGGCCTAGTTTCCCTGCTGGTAACTGTCTCTCCATGTTAAAGGCCTAGGCAGGGAGGATCTGGTGGATGGAGGTGCATGGTTTTCTGGCTGGTATCTTTTGTAAAAGAATGCCTCCATTGTTAGAGTACAGTGATTGGTCTTTTTTTATTTACATAGTAATACAGTATGAGTGAGTGCATTTCCATTTTCTTGCATTTTATTATTTACATAATTATGGTCTGGTCAGTTTAATGCGCTATATGCAAATGGAGGATCATTTGGTATTTGGTCATTTGGTATTGCATTGTTAAGTAAGGGCTAAAAATGACTATTGTTAGCATTTATCTTTGGGGAAACTTCTTTGCTCGGTAATCTAAATTACACCGGACACAAAAAAAGGAAGCGCTGGCCACAAAATTAGGAGGACATTTCATTTTGAAGGCAGCTTATGACTTTAGCTGAGAGCATATTTTAATGGTTCCACATGACTGCCCAGCAGAGTAAAGGGAGCCAGTAAAAATTACTGTGCAGCCTGTTTTTTGTTCTCATTCCCCCCTTCTTTCCACTCGACCCGCGTAAGATAATTAGTTTGAGCTGAAACAGAGCTTCAAGGTAATGGTAGAGGTTGGGGAAAGGCTGAGAGATGGAGAAAATGTTCTTCAGCTCTTCCTTCTGGCCTAGACACAGCAGCAAAACAGTCCTGGCTTGCATGTCGGCCAGTGCAATTAACTGACATTATGTCAGGTAGAGTACACACACTTCACGTGCACATACCAGGAGTCTTTTTTTTTTTTTTAATTCCAAGTGGTAAAAGAGAGGCAGTGAGACATTTGGATGAGTTTAATTGGTTTCCAGTGCACGGAGTAAAGATCAGATGCTCACTTTTGAAGAGCCTGCAGCTTTTTTTTTATTTTTTTTTAAGGTATCATATTGTAGAAGACTTTAAAGAAGACATGAAAGTGATGATGTGATGTATTAAACCTCAATATTCACACGTTTCCTAGCTCCAGATTTTTCAGTGTAGACAACATGTGGATAGTTCTGAAAAATTAATACTCCTTACACGACACATATTTGACGCTGTTTTAAGCATTCTGCAACAAATAAACAAAACTTGGGTGGGGGGCGGGGGTCATGTCATATTTCAACATACACATAAAAGTCGCATGCAGTTACATTTACAAGCAGGGGTGGCGTTTATGTAGAGTGGGCTTACGAACCGTGCGCCAGAAAATACATTTCGCACATGTGACAGTTTTATTAACACATCAGTATTTAATGGAATGAATCAAATTAAATAAATATTTTACAGCTTTCGAGACCCCTGTCTTATGAGCCAGGGAGGTTAGGAGAGAGGGGTGAGGGTGGGAGTGACATTTACAGAGGCGAAGAGTCTTACCATGTCATGGTCCGAAACTGGCCCAATACTAGTCACGAAAATGTCAGTCTTGACTTCAGTTACACGCTCTGTTGAAGCAGGAAATTGCCAGAGTGAGTGACTATCAGTGGCATTCATTAGCTCCTAACTACCTGTTAATGTAAAAACCACCTGGCTATAGCATCGCATCCATTCAGCATTATTTTTAACACTTAGACACATCCACACACACACACACACACACACACACATTGGAAATAAAAAAACAAAACAACACCATAAAAATGCCCCATTTTGGATGTCGATAACCATTTCTGCTAGTATTGGTTTCAGTGTCAGCTCCATTACCCGGACAGTGGTTCAATCTCTTAATAAATTCGCGCATTGCTGTGTTACTGAAAATATGCCACTCTGGTCCCATAATACTGATAGCCAAAATGGGTCCACTGGGGATTCATTTGGAAGGGATAGCGCTGGCAGTGTGTGTGTGTATGTATGTATGTGTGTGTGTGTGTGTGTGTGTGTGTGTGTGGGAGAGAGGGTTCATTCCTTGTGATTCTCAAACTGAAATATGACAGCATGATTTATGAATGATACCCATCATAATCCATAATTTCTTCCCCTCGGCTGCTGAACTCGTAGCAGGCCAGGTTTTATTCGCCTGTCTGTTTGATGCCTGCTGCATCACACTGCGCGATCCTCGGTGTCCTTCACACACCAATTCTCACGTTATCTCCCCCCTTCTCTTTTCACTTTTACTCTCCGTTTCTTTGCCTTTATCCGTTTCTCTCACTTTCCATTTCTGTGTATGCCTCCAAGTCTCCCAGCCATTTTGTTTCTCTCTTTAACAATGGACAGTTGAGAGCAGAGATTTGCTGCCCACACATACATTACAACTACTGGCTTTATGACAATTCATTGTTTCACAAAAACAGCAGGTGAAGAATGAGTCTACAACTCTTTTTTTTTTTTTAACTGTCACACAGATTTCTGACACTGAAAGCAAACCCACCTCCATAAGATTTAGTCATATGGATATCATTCCATGTAGCCATGTGGATAGTAAGCTATTTGTTGGAGTCTTTTGCATCACATTTGCATATTTGAAAAAAAAAAAAAAGAAAAAAAAGAAGAGTCAAACAGTCACCATGAGAAAGAAAATACATTCAATGACTTGGGTTTACTGACCTCCAAGTCCTGGCCTGAGGCGATTGTCATAGCCATCCAGAAGGCTGTCTAAGATCTTGGTGAACACTGTAGTGTTATCTTTCTGTTCATCTGTCATGCCGTTCTGCCCAGAGCTGGCAAAGCAAAGGAGAAGATTTAAAGTCACAGCTAGAATCCAAAACCACAGTCAAAACTGCCAAAAGAGTAAGAAAAAACTGATTATGAATCATATATCAAAAACAAAACAAAACAATAAAAAAGCTCTACTCTGTAGTTAGCAAGACATCTCTGTTGAAGTGCACGGGCAGCACAGAATGTCATATCATGAATCACATTGTGGGGAAAAAAAAAATGGACAAGAAAAGTCTGTCAGATCTTTTATGACACTGACGCACTTTGTTGTTGTTGCCAATTTACAATTCACAGTGTGTGACCATGAGGTTTTAGGCGGCCATATTGATATGAGATAAATAAGCAAGTGATTGTTCAGACATGGACTGGAAAAGAAAATATCCCAGGAGACCAAGTTATCCCATATTATCCATTTGGAAAACCTTTATTTCAGTAACAGCGTGTTTTCTAAGTGTTTAAGTTATGTTCATCGCTGGGGTGTAAATCCGGGCGTGCAGAGAACACATGTGGGTACACACGCACACACACACGTACACACCCCCACACATAGAAATAATCTCATAGGGAAAGAATAGAGAAATCATAATACATTATTTATACCTTAATACGGTCTTTTAGACCACAAAGGCCTTGCTGAATGTGCTGTTTGAACAACATGAAACAAAATGCTCAGAGCAATGCCGGATTGTGAGAGCAGCAGAGTTTGCAGCATCTCCACACATTAATAATTCAACACACTCATAATCAGGAATACCGCCCCTAATTATGCTGTGTATGATAAGGGCAACATATGACAGGAATGTTTAGAGAGAGAGAGAGAGAGAGAGAGAGAGAGAGAGTGTGTGTGTGTGTGTGTGTGTGTGTGTGTGTGTGCACATGCGTGCGTGCGTGCGTGTGCATGCGTGTGTGTGTGTGTGTGTGTGTGTGTGTGTGCGTGCGTGCGTGTGTGTATTTGCATACCTCAATCAATGCATGCATGTACTGTAGGCTCAGGGTGTGTGCACATACGCAAGCCTGTATACATATTCATGCATATGTTTGCATGTGTGATAACGCTGATAATACCCCGATGAAAGTCTTAACAATGCATTGTACGCCGCTCAGCAATCATCCTCTTTCTCTCTCTCTTTTTTTTTCTTTCTTTTTTACAGCCAATAGCGTTTGGCTTGATTGCATGCTAAATAAACAGCAAGTGTTTGGAAACAAGCTCTGCAAGCTGAATGGCTCCAAGGAGAGGGAGAGGTCATCAAGATTAGTTAGCAGGGACCTGGAACGGGACTGAGGGAAAAGTAGGAGGGATGGCAGGCAGGCGGGAGAGTGGAGTCTGGAGAAACATGCGAGAAAAGCTCGAAAGAAAAGACAAAGAAGAGGCACAAAAAAAATGGAGATAACAGAGATGAAGGAGGGGGAGATAAAAGGCGGAAAAGCGAGGTTGAGAAAAGGGGAGGATGCTGTTAAGTGAAACATTCAGAACTGTGGGACTAGCCACTAAAAAAAAAAAAAAAAGGAAAAAAACTCTGAAAAGCAATGGAACTGTAGAAACTGTGATGAGCAATTTTGTTTTGCGTCAGTCTCAGAGGTAACAGCTTTGGAAATAGTCAAATTCAAAACTATAATTAATCTGTTTTGTTCAGGTCTGGGACGCCAATTATGTATAAATACAGGAAGCAAAATTGCATCCATGGGACGTCAGCTGAGCCTAAAATAAAACACAACCTACTTTTTTCCTCCTTTCTTAATATAACATTTATTTAGGCATTTCCCATTTGCCAGATCATAGCAAGACACTGAAAAAGCTTTTGGTCTGCCCCAAGGGTTACGGTCATCTTGTTATAGCCTCCACCAACACAGAAAACAAGCCAACATGTCCCTTAGCTCTTTCAAGTTCACCAATAATTTAAAGTAATAGAAGGAAATAAGTCATTAATTAGTTCAAGTAATGGTGGAAATTGTTGGCACAGTTTTTGCTTTTCTTGACTGATACTCTGCTTTATATCACCTCTGTTCAAGATAGTTGTGGATGAGTTCTTTTTACGGACAGGAATACATTGAATAATACTGCACATATCATTTTTAAGATGGTGGTGGTGGTGGTGGTGGGAGGGGGGTGGGGGGGTTAGGGGTGCATGCCCCAGAAAAGAAAAGAAAATGGAGAAGAAATAGGTGCTGTGGAAGAATACACATGTTTATCAGCCAGGGGCCACTTCCTCATAAAACATTGTACACCATCCCCATCTACAGGTCATCTGAACAGCAACAGTGCCGTTCACACTCACTCTGCCAATGTCTCTCTCTCTCTCTCTCCATCTCTTTCTTTCTCTCGCTCTCTCCCTCACTCTCTCTCTCTCTCGTCACTCGGATATCTAATTATAAGGCAATTTCTCTCATTGGCAACATACTGTAGCAGTGTGCTTGGTCTTCCTGATTACCGTGTCTTGTTGAATTCCCCCCAAGGTGTGTGTGTACAGTATGTATGCGTATGTGATTCTGCGTCTGACTTCAAGAAGGGAACCGGATTATACAGTAAATCTTTGGGTGATAATTGCTTTGCACTTTGCGGTGACAGTTCCACAGTAAAGTAATCAGTACTTTTACATTTTCTCTGATGTGCTCAACGTGCAGCAGCATCACACTCAGTAAACCAGACCCTGCACTTGCTCGTCAGTACATCTCAAACCTATAAGCTGCTATTAATCAATTAGATCAAATCAGTGTGCAATCATGACGTGGCGCAGTGCATCATACGTTTAAAATGGGACACGTTCCATCTGCGTCGTGCGCGTGCTCGGGACGTGTGAGCTGAAACATGCGCTGTGTACTGTGTGGATGTGTGTTTTTGTGGCGTAGCTGTTGTCACAGAGAGAGAGAAGCAAGCTGGACCATCTCAAGACATTGCCACTGAAGACAACTGTCTGTGACAGTGCCACTGAATTATTCAACCGAGCAGAAAAGCCCAATCCCCTCGGTCTCTCCAGGATTCTCCAGGAGAACCACGGTGGGACGAGAGCTCAGATGATCTCATGCAGTTAAAGGATTCTGCTTTTGGTGTTGTTGTCTTACTTGTAATTGTGAATGTTTTAACTGATCTGCGTGTTTATGTAATCCAAGGAGTGGAGTCAGATTATGGTGTTTTGAGGTATGCTGCACATGACTGGCTGCCGAGCGTTTGAATCATGTTGGAGTTAATGCAGTTGCAGTCACATGACAGTGGATCTTATTGGTGTCGTTTCAAATCCAATCCTCCACCTTCTCCCTCTCTCTTGTCTCTTTGCTTCTGCTTTGGTGACATCTGACACACCGGTGTCGACATTGAGAAGAGTGTCTGTACATCGACCCTACCATCCCCGCAGCCACTGTCAAAAACGTGCACGAATCTGTGCCAAATATCACGGTGCCACGCGCATCATCTACTGTACGCAGCCCAGGACTGAAGACTGTGAACATTAGATGTTGTCCCACAAGGCTAGCGAACCAAAAAAAGTGTAACGCCATAGTAATGTGGATAGTGGCTATTTTGGCTCCTCATCTCCTCTCTCTGTATTGCAGTTCTTATTACCGCTATGCAATTATAGGCATGGAGGTGTCCTGTGGGGATGCCCCAGTTACAATCACATTGAATACGCTCTGTAAGAATGTAACCCAATAAACCAAGCAATAGGCAAGAACACAGAATACCATCCCGGCAGTTGTACCACTGGTTGCCTCCTTGGCTGACTGACTGACTGACTGATTTTACTGACATGTTTTAGCCAGCTGACCATTTAGCAAGCACTGAGACCAGCATAAAAAGATATCTGTCCTCAGACAACTGCATTTTAATATTTTGCCCAATGCAGTGTGGTCTTCACATGTTCTCCCACAAATGTCACCAGGCGCAATCACACTGTCCCAATAATACCTTGATCATGTAGGCAACACTTAGAATCGTCTCAAACTCTGCGTAAGGCTCAGAACGCAGTTATATGAACAGTGTGCATGATATGTGCAGATTCCATACATTTAGAATTATGCAGTGTAATACCCAGGTAGATATGCATTTGGGAAATTAAAGTTTGTTCTTACCTCTTCCCACCCAGTACGCTGTTGGCGACAAGCAAGCAAGCCCACAGACACAGAAAGGCCGTCCTGCTCCGTCCACACATAGTTGCAATATGAGGACCTTTCACTGCTGGAGGTCAAAAAGAGAGGGAGAGAGAGAGAGAGAGAGAGAATGAACATCATTACACCAAGTCTTAGGAGCCAGTGATCCACCATTAACCCAACATTTCATCACATCAAGTTGTTAGTAAACATGTAGATGTGCTAAAACAACAACAGCCAACATAGGGGGTGGAGGGGGTGGGGGTGGGGGGTCAAGGCTCTGAGGGAGACCTTGTTCCTATAGAGATGCTTTATGTGAGGTTTTCAGTCGTGGCTGTTCACATTTCTCACAGATTCACTGACAGCACATGAATCAAACCAAATGGCCTTGCCTCATGCATTGGGCCATCACATGCCACTTGACACACGCATATATAGCCTACCCTCAAAGATTTTTACATCATCATTTTTGAATTAGCTGTCACGTTGATGGAGACATATTCTACACCCTAACTATGTAGGGGTAACCGAATTTAAATAGCTCCTCGGCGTTGGGTTGACGAGAAAGAGAGCTAGTGTAAATACGACTTTCATAACTGACACTCAGTGCACACGCATATGGTATGGCCGCAGCTGTAGCGCATAATAATTAAGAAGAAATAACAAGGCATCACATCATCGACCACATAACACCCTGTGTGAGCTTGTAGCACCTGTACACAGCCTCCTCTAATACCCTGCAATGTGAAACCGCGGCGGTACCGCAATATCAAACCAAATCCCCTAAAATAAGAGCATTTGCTTCCTCCTTAATCATCAAGCTATGATGTCAGCCGGGTCATAAAGTATGTAAGCAATAGTCTGCGCTATTGTGCATGCAAAACACAATGCTCAAATTCTCAGCCCATTTTTTTGAAAGCATAATCGATGTGTCCACGACAGGACCAAATACTTCTATATATATATATATATATATATATATATATATATTAAGCGCTAAACCAGTATTTCACGAACGATCACAAAATTCTGCCACATAGAAGACAATACCCCTGTTACTTGCTTGTGATGCTCCAAGGTGCACTGTGAGCGGATGGGAGTCGGTGGGGACAAACAATGCTCAGTTAAAATAAAATCAAAATCAAAATAAATCCTTTGCTTGACAAGGATTTGATAAAGCGGGGATGATGCAGATTAGCGAATGGAGGAGAAAATCCCGCACAAGCACACTTTCTAAGTTATTCAGAGGAAATGTCACCCTCTCCTCTACAGTACGTGGAATATGTTCGAGCCTGGTAGGAATTTAGCATGCAACTGGCATCCCCGCAAGGCTGCTCTAAATACATGCATGGCGATCCAATTCGTGCGTGGCGGAGTAATTAAGCAAATGTGCGTTGATGCTGTTTCATTCGGAGCGCTGTCCGTGGTGCTGAAGCCAGACTGCTTCCCGTTAAAGACATCAAACGGCTCCGGTTTGCCATAAAATACCGCTTAAACGGTCTTAATTTCGACGGCAAACTCCCCCCCTTCTCCCAAATAAAAGTCGTCTTCGATTCTAGCGGTGTCCAGCAACACAAACCATCCCTTCTAAATCCGAGCGTTTACTCCCCTCTCCCCTTCCTTCTTCTGCCTGATAAAAAAGGCGATAAAAAATGGGAGAAAATCACTTACAGCAGATGACTCTGGGTATATTCGGTGTCCGCTGCCTATATCCTCAAACTTTTGTGAATATCTTTTCTAGCCGGACTGAATGAGAAAAATCCTCTGTGATCTCAGATCTGACGAATTTTAGCTTGAGGCTGGAGAAGCGGCTGCTGACGATATGCGCAGGTCTCTCTCACTGTTCATTGGTGGTGCTGTAGTGAGTTGAACTCTCTCAGTCTGTCAGCAACAAAAAAAAAAAAAAAAAAAAAAAAAAAAAAAAATGTTCTACTAAACTAACAAATCTGGACTGTGTAGCAGGGTCTCTATCCAAAATATATGTTTTAGCTCCTCAATCTGCCTGTAATTAAAGCGCATGGCACACAGGCTGTGTCCAAGCGCAGACCATTTTATTTTAGAATAGGCTGTACCAACCTAATATAAAGACTAGCCCGCCCATTTTATATGCAGCACAATTTAACTTCCACTGCTGTCGCCCTAATCTCTTTTCAGTGGCTGCTAAATAAAAATCCTCTTACATTTTCAACTGGGATCCCTTGTTTTCCCCCCATCGCGCTTTCTCTGTCTCTCTCCCCGACTCCTATACGTGATGATTTTCCAAGGAGATAAAATTGACATAAATCAAAAAAGACTCGACTCGCGACCAAATCAGCTAGGGCATCTTATGGAGAAGAGTAGCAGTCATAAAACGCACAGTGAGTACTTACGATGAAGCAAAAGAAAAAACAACCGAGAATTAAACACGAACGGATTACACGGCTCGGATACGCGCGCACACAAGCAGGGAAAAGGCACCTCCAAAAAATGTTTTTTTTGTAATAAAATCGTGTTCCCTCACCAGCTTCCACTGATGAGACGAGCCTCTCTCTGCAATAAAATCCTCCTCGAATCACTCACCGTCTCCTAAAAGCCCACGTTTCGCATCGAGACAACAGCACTGTGTCTCTGTTTACAGCCCAAATATTCTGCTGCTACAGCCGCGCCACTCCAGACTGAGCTCAGAACGGCGAGGAGCGCTGAGCTGCGTGCATCTGCAAGGGAGGAAAAAAAAAATGGGCTGATGATACCCAGCGTATATTTTTGTAGTCATCTGCGTATTTCAAGTTAAACTACAAATCAGAGGACATTTTCATCACCAAGGACTACAGTAGGAGGCATGAGAGGAAAACAAGGACATTCTTACTGGGCAGTTTAAACCATATCAGTGTAATTCATGATGGCATAAGCCTCCGATATATTCTAGCTGTTGATTTGGGAATGCTTTTGACAGAGGAGCAACTCATTTTTCGCCTTCAGTTTTGACTGGGGGTTTATTTTCATCATAGCAGGCAGAGTGAGCTGGCAGTGCAGTCACGTCAGTCTGGTCTGCAGTGCAACGTTTCCTCAGTGTGTGTGTGCGTGTATGTGTGTGTGTTGCCTCCTCACGCGTGGTTAAAGTAGTGCATGTGCGTGATTAGTTATGAGAGACATCATGGGCATATATGCGCCTCTGTATTCAATAAGTATCTATCTATCTATCTATCTATCTATCTATCTATCTATCTAGAAAGGACTTATATCCACTCTTTTTATCCCTCTTCTTGCGCTCTGCTCACATTTCCTTCTGATAACCTGATGCAGCAGGTGCACGCGCATATTTTAATAATCATAAGAAGAAGAAGAAAAACTCCCAACAACCCCACCTCCTTCCGTAGAATTAATGCCATTGTAATGCAAGTGGAGTATCATTTCAAGCTGCTCCCCTTCTCTCTCAAAGCCAGACGCCACCGCTGCATGTGACTCGATTTTGCCTGTGAGCGCGCGTGCACGTGCGAGCATGCATAAACAACACGTGCCCGCGTGTGTATGCGTGCGTTTGCGCGCGCGCACGCCCGCGACGGATAGTGGAGAGGGAAGAAGTACAGCTACGACTCCCGTTTTTTTTTCTCCCTCCCTCCGTCCCTCCGTCCCTCCTCACGTTTTAATAAACCTTCCCTTCTGCCAAAAGATTAGAGAATCTCTTCGCGGGCAACAATAGACAGCTTTTCCAAAACAAGTGATCAATTAAGACGAATTTCCAGTGTCGCCTCTCTAACAGAATGACGACAAGTAAAGGAGACTTGCCTACTAACTTACAGCTCCATCTCTGGGCAGGTGATGGGAACAGATAGTGAAGTGAGGTGTGTGCGTGCGTGTGTGTGCGTGTGCAGGGCTAAACGGAGAGAGATGGATGACGGTAATTTAGGTGAGAGATGTGCAGGTTATGGGGAAATAATCACTCGCTGTGAACAGTGCTTTTGAATTTCAAAAGAAGGGATATTGATGAACTACAACCCCCCCCCCCCACACTCACACACACACACACACACACACACACACCCACACACCCACCCTCATTCCCTGCCCTCCCCATGACACATTAACACAAAAAGTAACCTGCAGCCACCTTTGTGTCTTTGCACTTAACTGGTTGGTTTGTTGGCCATATGTGTGCACACACTTGTACCACTGTGTATTGTCCATGTGTGTTTCTGAATGTGTATGTTTTGCCCAGGTGCACATTCAATCTCGGACAGTATGTATCAGTATGTTTTAGTATGGTAGTTCATTTGACCTTAAAGTTTTCATGTCTCCGTGGGTACAAGTGTAAAACCATTGGAGCCTCTCTCCACCATGTGAAGTGCCATGATTGTTGTCCCTCAAAGGAAAAGTCGCCGTCTGAGCGCTCATGACCCTGAAAGGTTTTACTGGCCTCTTCTTAGTTTACTGAACACCTGCCTTTTAATGTATGGCACACAAACAAACTAACACCCCCGGATTCTTTTTGAGCCCTTATCCACAAGCACACAAGCAACAGTCTCAGTTTGAAGTCTCAGTTTCAGGTTTTTGTTTTTTGCAGGCAGTAAAGAGCATTTTAAAAAACAGATAAAACCAGGACAGGTGGGAGAGGTTTTTTTCTTTCAGCCTGCTCTTCACAGGGGTGCAATGTCTTAATTTGGCATGTGATGTCACACAGTTGGAGATTCCTCGGACTCTGTGAGTGTGTCCACTCATGCACTCTTATAGGAGCATGGTTTGGCTCTGGTTAGGTCAGAGCTGCTCCTCAATGAAGGGGTCGCTCAAGACCACTCTCTGTCCAGTAAGCAACAGCAGGCAGTGGTCCCCTCTGGCTGCCTCCAACTGAGGCTAAGGCAGGAGAGAGAGAAAGAGAGAGACAGAGAGAGAGCTAAACCCAAGTGCAGTACTTCAGTTCAATTACTGCAGTAATGCTTGATTTGCACTTGCCCTTTTTTTTTTTTTTACCCCTTGTGCTGGTGCATTTCACACTGCCAGTGGGTTGAAAATCCGCTACTGCTCTGGCTCTTGAACCCGGACTTAGTGTCTAGCCTGCTGCCCACCCATGTCTCACTTGCTCCTGCCCCTGCTCCCAGTGTGTGTTCATCTTTTATCCTTTCAATCTGGATGGAGAAGACTAATTGAGACTTTTCACAGGTGTGGGTGAATATGTTAAGTGAGGTGTTATCCACATGTGGTACAAAGGAGTGTAGGGGAAACACTCAGTGTTACGGTGGAGCTTCTGCCACAAACAAAAATGAATGAAGGGAGGCTGGCACCTAAATGCACTGTCCCGTTTGGACTGTTGGACACAGGCTGTAGTCTGTAGTTCCCATTTTGCGCAGCATTAAGAGTGACTTGCCTCAATCAGCTGTCCTGAGGAATAAACCCGGCTGTTGTAGAAGACAAAAGAGTGCTTCCCCTCTGTGAGCTGCTCTCTGCAATCAGCCATTAACTGGGAACTTCTCTGACTCACAGTTTCAGGCCATGTCCAGTGTGACACGTGCATGGGTGCACACTTGCAGATACACATTCATACTCAAATAAACTTGCTCATGTAGGCAGACATGCACACTTGTATACATATATAGGGATGTTTATATGCATACATACATGCATGCATGCAGAATTACATAGGCTGCTGTACAAACATATTCTGCATGTGCACACCACACATGCATTTAACATAAGACTACAAATACCAATAGGCCTATAGATATTGACAGCAGCTATGGATATGATTAAGATCAATCAGTGCTTGGGTCTGTTGATTATGAATTAAGATTTTGCTAATGAGCTTATGTGCTGACATGCTGTGGTAAGCATATTGTATCACTTCTGGTTGTTAGTGTTGTAATATTAAATGTAGACTATTTTTGCCCAAGCACCAAGCATAGCTCTCTACTACCTTCAGCAAATTTCTTCTTTACATGCTATTCAGATCAGTGACTTTAGCTTAGCCGTTAGCGATGGCTTCTATCTCCCCCCGTCACTCTCCTGCTCTCTCTTGTTCGATGGGCCATATGTTTTAAAGTTTTTAGTTAATTTGTTGACAGGCTGATCCAGTGTAGCTCCTTCTGCAGCTCCTACTCTCTCTCAGCAGCCACAAAGCCAGGACGGCAGAGTGACTGTTTGTAATAACAAGAGGAATGACCAACATTACCACCAACCTGTTAAGGGTTAGGGTTTTAAGAAACCAACTCTGGTTATTGGCAGCCCTATTTTGAGAAATGTGAAGTTAGGGACATCGTCAACCGTAGTCAAATGTATACCTGGACCAGAGTAAGTGATGTTGAATATTTGAAACTGCAGGATAAGGATAAATTTAGATGTAGTAAGATTAATGTTAAGTTGGACTCCGTGGTTTTCTCTGTGCCCCTGCCTAAATCTGACCAGTGATGACATGTATAAGCCGCATGTCATCATCCAACCGCTGGCTGTCCAGGTGGTGTCCAGCAACCAGTGAGGGCTTTGTAGATAATTAGCGGACTTTCTGGGGTAGACTTGGCCTGATTAGAAGAGACAGCTTACATCCCACGCTGGATGCAACTCTTATATCTACAAAACTGACCAAGTTTATAAGAAAGCTAAAACCATGACAACCCAGAGTTAAGACTAGGAAGCAAAGTTGCCTCCTGGTCTCTAAGCTTTTCTTAGAGTGACCTGCCATTAACCCCTTGAAAAATATGTCTGCTCCTGACCACGTACATTTATTAATTCAAAAGTAAATAGAAGAGGAATTATACATAAAAACCTAATAAAAAATCAACACAACTACTAGAACAAAACCAAAAAACAAGACAATAAAATATGGACTATTAAATATTAGAGGCATCAGGAAGAATATGTTGGTCTAAATAAATCAGCACCCCCTACTCATTAATTTTCACATTCCTCAAAGCACATGCTGAGGAGGAGGGGTCACAGCGATTTTTCACTCCAGCTTATTAATCAACTCTAAACCTAAACTTAGTCATGACTCTAACTTGAAAGCCTTACTCTTAGTCTTTCACACCCCAGCTAAGGAAACACAAAGAACTGTTCTACTAGTCACTGCATATCCTCCACATGCCCCTTACTCTGAGTTCTTATCTGAATTCTCTGAATGTTGATAGTGACAGCCTCAGTTCTGCATTTAATTCACTGTTAGGCTCAATTGACTTCTTTCCACATGTAAATGAACCCACTCACTGTTTTAATCACACCCTCAATCTTGTTCTGACATATGGCATAGGAATTGAACATTTAACAATATTTCACTATTTCCCTCTTTCGCCTGACCATTTTCTATTAGCATTTGAGTTCACAGTAATGGATTATATAGCATTTAGGAAAAAAAAATCCATTACAGCAGGTTTCTGTCTGATAATACTGTTACCAAATTTAAAGAAAGAAATTTCTTTAGTTTACCATGTGTCAATACAATGGAGGACAGCTATTTCAACTTTACACCCACACAAGTTGATGATCTTGTCGGTAGTGCTGCAGCCTCACTGCGTGCAACACTCGACACTGTTGCCCCTCTGAAAAAGAAGGTAGTGAGTCAGAGGAGACTAGCTCTGTGGTACAATTCACAAACGTGTGCTCTAAAGCAGAATTCACGAAAGTTGGAAAGGAAGTGGCGTTCCACCAATCTAGAAGAACAACCCCAGGTTTCTGTTATTGTTATTCCAGTTATTGTTA